CATTCAACCCAGCAATCCCATTACTGCATGTATATCCAAAAGAAAATAAATCATTTTACCAAAGAGATACACACACTCACATGTTCATCACTGCACTATTCAAAATAGCATAGACATGGAATCAACCTAGGTGACCATCAACAGTAGATTAGATAAAGAAAATGTGGTACATATACACCCATGAAATACTACACGCCATATAAAAGAACAAAATCATGTCCTTCCAGCAACATGGATACAGCTAGAGGCCATTATCCTAAGCAAATTAACACAGGAACTGAAAACAAAATACTGCATGTTTTCACTTATAAGTGGGAGCTTGTACTCAGGGACATAAAGATGGCAACAAGAGACACTGGGGACTAATAGTGTGGGGAGGGAGGAAGGGGACAAGGGTTGAAAAACTACTGGGTACTGTGCTATCTGAGTGATGGGATAATCCATATCCCAAACTTCAGCATCACTCAGTATACCCAGGTAACAAACCTGCACATGTACCTCCTGAATCTAAAGTAAAAGTTGAAATTATTAAAAAATAAAACAAAGCAGTGTCTGGCACATGGAAGCATACGATAAATGAGAAATACCTAACGTAGGTGATGGGGGGATGGAGACAGCAAACCACCATGGCATGTGTATACCTATGTAACAATCCTGCAAGATCTGCATATTCACTCCAGAACTTAAAGTAACTTTTTTTTTTTTTAAATGTTACTATTACAGAGAAATTGAGACCCTGGATGAATAGAAAAATAAACTTTAAAGAACAAAGTTTCCAAGTTCAAGAAGGTCCAGCTCAATGCTCTCTTCATAAGGTTTACAGAGCTTGGAAAGAGGTAGCAAAATGCAGTTATAATCTTCATGTAAAAGGTGACATTTCCTGCCCAAAATCACTTCAGTGAACTCACATATCTCTGGCTCCTCTTTCTATCTCAACTTTATTATTATTATGTTTTTACATTTTTTAAATGAATAACCATTTCAAACTATATTCTCTCTTTAAGCACCCCAAAATAAGGAAAAATGCATTCCAAATTGAGTTTAAAAATATTACATATTTATAATGTCTCCATCCTTCACATACTAGACCACTGGCACATTCAACGTTTGGAATCCACATGTTCCTTGAAGACAATGGAACAAGGCTATGGGAGGAGGAGGTTGTCCATGCTCTCCAAGGTCCCTTTTTCCTCTAGAATGCTATGATCTCTGATCTACTTGATTGGACACACAGGTTACAGCAGCCTTCCTCTGAGGCTCTGTCACATCAGAGATCAGAGCGATTATAGAAGACAACCAGTTGGGACACCTGGCTGATGATCCTTTCTTGGGTCTGTGAACTAAGCAGAGCTTTGCACCTTACCTGAATGAAGTTGGAAGAATGGAATGAAAACATGGGCAAGCTTTTTCTGCCTTCGTATTACAATCATTCGCCAATTGACACACATTTGTTGAGCACCCACTATGTAGTAGATTAGCGGTTCTCAAAGTGCAAACCCCCAACTCAGCAGCAGCAGCATCCCTGGGGACCTTGTTAAAAATACAAATTCTCACCACAACTCCCATCCCACTCCACAGGCATTTTGAATCAGACACAGTCAGGATGGAGAAATCAATCTGCGTTTTAACAAACCATCCAGATGTTTCTCATGTGCTACATTTGAGAACCACTGATCCAAATGTAGAACACAGTCACTCTGCTGAGCACTGGGACTGTAAACGTGAACAAGATTGTGTCCCAACCTTCAGGAGCATAGATTTGTAAACAAGAACAACCAAGGATTCCAAGAGGTACAGTTCAGACACAGAGGACAGTGGTTCACAAAAGTGGTAGCCAATTCAGCATTTTGGGAGGAGGTGTTGGAAAGAATTCCTGAAGAAGTAATGCTTGAACTCAGTCTTGGAAAAAGACTCAAATTTTTCCAGTTTGAGTGGGGAAACAGCATTCCAGAGAGAGGAGTGAGTGCATGTATACTTGGGAATGGACAGGCATGCACACAGACTTCAGCTTTTAAAAAGCAGCAGCTTGACAGAAGGGGTTTTGTCTTTTGTCCACTATTGTATCCCCAGCGTTGCGAACATACCCCTAGCTCACGGGAAGCACTGAGTAACTACTTGAATGACTGAATGCAAAGATCCTAAATTGCCACGTGCTGCATTATCATGAATGATTTCTTCTCAGCATAGGATAGTAAAACAAACAAACCAAGCTAATGGTGAGTTTTCTCCTTTAAAGTACTACATATTTCTGCAAGAAATTAGCCAAAGACTGGATTATTTGTTTAACACGCTATGTCTTAAAGCATGGGTTGCTGGTATGAAACATATGACTTCTAAGTCTGCCAGGGTAGCTCAGTGAAGCCTAGAGCACTTGCTTGATACAGGTTTTCACTGAACCTGAAAACTTCACCTGCAAATAATTGCTGAGTCTCATAAACACATTGATCTTTACAATAGAAACCACAACAGGTTCTTTCTTAAAATATGAAGAACCAAATATCCCAAGCAGCATATTTCCTTCTGCTTTAGTTAAAATCAACCTGGCATGCAGAATGGTTGGGTTTTGTGTCTCTCTAGCCCTGTCCTCACAGGCTGCACTGTGCCAGATGCTTGCTGTTCTGTCTTCTGGATGCCAGGGCATACTTCATAGCATCAGAAACTTCCCCAAGGGTCCCTCTGCATCTTCACACTGACCACAGCGACAGGTCTGGTGGCTGATTCAAAAGAAAGGACTGATGCCAAATTAGACTCCAGTACTGAGGTTTCCTTCCTTTCAGAGCCACTTCTAAGGGAGCCATCCTGGGGGATTTCCTCCCCAGCATCCCTGCCATACCTCGTCTGGCTTCATGTACCCAGTTAATTACATTCTTGAGTAGCTTGCTCTAATCTCTGATGTGACAGAGCCTCAGAGGAAGGCTGCTGTAACCTGTGTGTCCAATCAAGTAGATCAGAGATCATAGCATTCTAGAGGAAAAAGGGACCTTGGAGAGCATGGACAACCTCCTCCTCCCATAGCCTTGTTCCATTGTCTTCAAGGAACATGTGGATTCCAAACGTTGAATGTGCCAGTGGTCTAGTATGTGAAGGATGGAGACATTATAAATATGTAATATTTTTAAACTCAATTTTGGAATGCATTTTTCTTTATTTTGGGGTGCTTAAAGAGAGAATATAGTTTGAAATGGTTATTCATTTAAAAAATGTAAAAACATAATAATAATAAAGTTGAGATAGAAAGAGGAGCCAGAGATATGTGAGTTCACTGAAGTGATTTTGGGCAGGAAATGTCACCTTTTACATGAAGATTATAACTGCATTTTGCTACCTCTGTCCAAACTCTGTAAACCTTATGAAGAGAGCATTGAGCTGGACCTTTTTGAACTTGGAAACTTTGTTCTTTTAAGTTTATTTTTCTATTCATCCAGGGTCTCAATTTCTCTGTAAAGTATATTTTTTTCTTGATTTCAGTCCTTGCCCCAGAAATATCCTTAGGGTTAATATTTGCAGAGAGAATGTACCTGTTAAGCACCTTGTGCTTCAAAGACATAGTTGCTTTAAAATAGAGTTTAATTATTAGCTCTCAATATTTTGTTTTTGTATAAAAAGAAACATCTAACAGCCATGCAACATTGAACACACCAGGAATCCTGTTTGCTCTTTATCAGTTTCACTTTTTCTGTTTGACTTTTTTCATTTGAGTTTATATTGGTTTTGGAGAAAAAGGGCTAGAGACCATCCATTTTGATGGATTAAAGAGAAAGCCAGTAGTCAGTGTTAAAGCTGGTTTTAAATGAACACAGGGCCACTGAAGGACAAGACCTATATTCTTGGCACTTTCAGTGCATGTAGGTTGGGGCTGGAGCTGGGGAACAGAATTGTATATAATATGCCAGAGTGGAGAGGAGATTTTGGTAAACCATTCATGCAGAAAGCAGTGAAAACACTGCTCCCACACCACTTCGTTCAGAGCTATTGACTTCATTTATCTAAATGTTTGCTCTGTTTTATTTGACATTGTGTACCCTCAGTCATCACTGCTTCCATGTCCTTTCACAAAGATTATTTTCCAAAAGATATTTCTAAGTGTAACTAAACTTATGTAAACTGAAGTTTGGTCCGCACGGGAAAGGTGAAAAGTAAATTCCACGGGCCAATTATTAATGGTTTGGGAGAGTCGGGTTCCAAAATGAACCTGTGAAAGAGAGGAACATCTATTGTATGTCCAGAGAAGTTTGAAAAACATGAGGAGGTTTTGACCAACCCTAAAAAGTTCACAGGAAGACTCAGTGATTCTTAGTGATGGAGGCTAACGTGAGTGTGTTACTGTGTGCCTAGATAAGCACTGTTGTGCAGCAGGGAACAGCCTCTTAATGAGGCTGAGATTACAATTGTTAGCAAAGAATCAAAAAATGAGGAAGAAGAAAAATAGGAATTATGGACAGTGTTAAAGCATACAAATTTAGGAGAGCTATATTGAAATTTTAAGTTGAAAATAAGTTATGTTTCATTCATAAGACCTTGTGTAAGAAAAAATTCTGCGGCATCTGAGATTCATTGTCTGTTTTGAAGGAGTCAGAAAGTCAGAAACTATTTCATTTGCATGAATAAAAATGTTATCTTGATAAGGGAATGAGACATTTATTTTAGATATCTACAGACTAGTGACATAAAAATCACATAAACTATAATTGTTGAAATATCATGCCATATGATTATAGACTGTATGAATACAGAATGACTTTACTAAAATAATAAACAATTTAGGTTGATTGCAAGTCAATGTTTTTCTTAATCTTAATCTCCCAATAGAAATTATATTTTAAAATACTTAAGTTTTTTGTGTTGAATTTAGAAAATTAGAGGTAACTTCACTTGTTCTTTGTAGATAGCTACCAAATTTCTGATGCATGTGAGAGAATCTATTTATTGCATTATTTATAAACACTAATACTTGATAACTGATTCACAATAATTCTAACTCCTATTTTCTTGTTTTACAGCTTGGCTCGTCTTCTTCTGTGCCTTTCACATCTATTTTTTCTCAGCTCTTTATGACTGTTGTGGTTCCTCTCATCATTGGACAGGTAAGACCTCCAATTCTATCTGATCTTTTCTTTATGGATCAAATTGTGAAATCTTACATCATGTCAGAGCAGTTGAGAGAAAGGGTATTCAGAGGGAGGAGATAAATGAATATATGATACTGAAAACAAAGTTTCATCAATCACAGTATTCTCATTTTTTTAGTTTTTAAATTAATACAAATCTGCTTTGCAGTTAGCTATATTTAGGGACCCCTGCTAGCTATATATAGGGACTTCTGCACAGAGTCTTCATTTTTAAAATTTATTATCTGCTCTTTGTAGCTGTGTAGCTACCTTGAAAACATCTAGCAAGTCTTTACCTTATCCAGCAACTTTTGACAAGATCTCTATTTGTGACTTTGCGATTCTCAAGGTTTATGACCATTGTTGGGAACAAGCATCTGTCTTTGGTTGGCGTCTTTATAGACTTCTCCAACAGCAGTTATGTTTGTAACTATGTAATCGATAAACAATTTAATTCAATTATCTCTTAAAGTTTGATCTTAGAACATTTAGGGCTTACTTTGTCATTCTTATTCAACTGGACTACTAGAAATTCTATTTTAACTTTTTATAACAATTTAGTAGTAAGCATACAAATTTTAAAACAAGTGAATTTTTTTGTTGTTTTTTGTTTTCTTTGAAATCATAGGATGTCACAGTATCAGAGTATAGAATTTAAAGCACAACTAAATTGAGAAAGTCTTAGGAAAGCTGTACATTAAGAGCAACTCGATTCTAGACTTATTTCTGCCTTTGATTTGCTCTGTTACTATGGTCAAGTTATTTAATCTCCCTAGCTCCACATTCATAATTTATTAAATATTATGACAATAATATCTATCTTAAAGGGTTGTTGTAAAGATTAAATGAAATATGCATGCCTGTAAAGTTCTTGGCATAGAACCTAACTCAGGTAAGTGCTCTATAGCTTCTATTATTATAATCATTATTATCAAATTCCCTGCAAATACTAACCAGGAAACAAGTCTTTGAAATACTGAATATAAAAAATGTATGCCTCGGCTGGGTGCCGTGGCTGACGCCTATAATTCCAGCACTTTGGAAGGCTAAGGTGGGCGGATCACTTGAGGCCAGAAGTTTGTGACCAGCCTGGCCAATGTGGTAAAACCTTGTTTATAGTAAAAACACAAAAAAATTACCCAGGTGTGGTGATGGGTGCCTGTAGTCCCAGCTACTCAGGAAGTTGAGGCAGAAGAATTGCTTGAATGTGGGAAGCAGAGTTTGCAGTGAGTCAAGATCATGCCACTGCACTCTAACCTAGATGACAGAGCAAGACTCCATCTCAAAAGAAAAAAGAAAAAAAAGAAAAGAAATGTGTGCATAGACGTGTAATGTTTACATGCTGTCTTAGCTCAGGTTCTCTGGGCAACGGGCTCAAAGACAGAGGTTTCCATGCAGGAAGTTCACTAAGAGATACCCTTGGGAGCAACACCTTTAGGAGAGTGAATAAAGTAGGATGGAGATGATGCAATCCCAACAGAGGTCTCAGTAGATCCTGTGGGGAGCCCTGGAGGTGGAATGACCCCTCAGAGTTCTCCTGCCTTAAGGCAAGAACACCTGTTCTTTATACTCTTACACTGACCTGTTATTAGATACTGGCTTCCCTCCTACCCTTCTACCAAGGACTGTGACCTTGGGTGAGTCTGCTTTCTTAGGCTGAGAGCAAGTCCCAAAGAGAAACTTCGCTGACATCTCTTACTCACCCAACACTCCCTGCAGCTGTGGGTATAAGCACCTCATTCCTGAAGAGAGGAATCTGGGTGTTACTCCACAGTGTCCACAACAAGGGTGCTATTTTTTATTAATTTTATACTTAGTAAAGGGACTAAATTTAGCATATAAGGAGGGATTTATAAGCACTTTAAGAATACCGTTTAATGGCTAGGCATGATGGCTCACACCTGTAATCCCAGGCCAAGGCAGGCAGTTCACGAGGTCAGGAGTTTGAAACCAGCCTGGCCAACATGATGAAACCCTGACTTTACTAAAAATACAAATATTCATCTGGTTTGGTGGTGCATGTCTGTAATCCCAGCTACTTGGGAGGCTGAGGCAGGTGAATCACTTGAACCCAGGAGGTTGAGCTTGCAGTGAGTCAAGATCATGCCACTGCACTCCAGCCTGAGTGACAAAGCAAGACTTTGTCTCAAAAAAAGAATACCATTTAATTAAATATAAAAAATGATACTTAAAAAATACTTCTCCCACAGTGCTAATCACATAAGAGAGATTCTGACTAAATGTTACATCCCTGCCTACCTCTCTGAGCTCTACCGCATTTCCTACTTCCAGCCTCCCTGGCTTTTCTCAGTTCCTGCTCTTTCTTTCTGTTTAGAATGTCTTTCTGCCTACCTTCCCATCTCATCGTGTTTCTTATTTGACTCTTTAATCAAGGCTTCTTTGAGCCCCCAGCAGTAATTTTCCCTAGATTGTCATTTGTTCAGCGTAATATTTTTAGGTCTGTATATAGTAGGTACTCAATAACACTGATGTTTTTCTTTCATAGTTATCACCTGAAAAAAAAATCTGAAAAAAAAGCATATCTTTTTTAAGGATACCAGTTCAAGAAAAAATAAATTATTCATAATTTTATGTTAAAGAAAAGCCATATTTCTAACACCTCCCTTGGTTTTGAACCATATAGCTGATATATATTTCCCTGGTTATTCTTCATTGCGACACCTTGTTTGATTTCTTTAACCTTTCTCCCAAATTATACCTATGTTTAGTTTGCTTGCTATGTTTAGTTTAATAGCAGTTTGTCTCTGCCATTAGACTGTCAGCTTCTTGAGTACTGGAGCCACATTTGTTTTGTTTACCGTTACATTCCCAGACCATAGGTACCCAATAAATATGTATTGAAAGAGTGAGCAATTAAGAATGAATGAGTCAGAGTTCAATGATCAGTAAGGGATATGCTTTGCTGTATAGAGGCATAACTGAATCTACCTGTATTTCTCACCTCCACACAGTTTAAGCTGTGGATTATATTAGTTTAAATTCATACGTATTTTCTTGGTTCTGAAAATAATTCCATCCAATAATTTAAGGCTCATACATTCTTCTTGTAGTAGATCTTGGAAATTTCCCTATTAATAATAAATGCTTGGCTTAAAATGTAGGGGAAAAAAATCTGTGTGTAGGTTACTTAATTTTTTATGTATAGGGTTATATAATGTATGTAATTTAAAAACATTTATCCAGAGAGAACAATGAATTATTAGATGGCTCATTCTTTGTGTTCTCAGTAGTAAATAGTAAAGTATTCAGTAAATTATAAAGTAATAAAGGTAGTCAAAAAGGAGTATAGGCAGTTTTTTTTTTTTTCTTAAGTGTTCCAGGTACCACAGTTCTTTGATGGCTCTTTTTGAGAAGAAACCTATATGGTTGCATCTACCTGCCCCTTCTCTTGTATTCTGGTCTTAGGAATTAACAGTTAACACCTTGTCTCCACATCTAGAAACCACCAAACAGCCTTGCGTCCTCCCTCTCCTTACACCATGCTCCTTTACCTCCAGGCAGTCACTACATCCTACCATTTCTGCCTCGGAAATCTTTCACACCTGGCCCCTACAGCCCCAGTCACACTGCTGGAGAGGATGACACACCCTCATCATCTCTTATCTGAATTACTGCACCTCCTAAACCTGTCTCTCTGCTGTGAGTCTCTTCCAATTCCTATCTAATGTCTTTACTGCCTCCTGAGTAGTCCTAAAAAACAAATCAATTCATATGATTCCTCTCCTTAAAAACTTCCTGGTGGCTCCCTGTTGCCATTTCCTTGTGTGGCCCCAAAGCCCTTCAGAGTGTGGCCCAACCTGCCTCTCCAGTGCCACTTCCCACCACTCCTCTCCTTAGGGCTCTGCTTTTCCCATGCTATATACTCATCATCCTTCACCTGACTATGGCCCTTCACTGCTCTGTACCTTTGACTGTATTGCCACCAAACTCCTACTCATTGCTGAAGACTCGGTACAGAGATCCCCTCCAATGTGACACCTGCCTGCTCTGACCTAGACTGACCTAGATTAAATTCCACATCTCCTGTAGTACTTGATTCATAATATTTATCAGGAAAGAATATCATTTATCAATGTGCTTCCTAAAAGCAGAGACTGTATCTTCTTAATTTTCTTATCTCCTTGCTTATAGTAACTCTCAGTATGTATGTATGTACTGAATCTGTTATTTCATCCCAAGTGGTAGTCTCTATAGGTTACTATTTATAGGGTTCTTAATAACATAAGAGTAGGGTGTAAGCTGTATAAAAAAAATTGACTGAAGAGAACTTTGAAATTATCTTCAGGGAGCCCCCAGCAGTAATTTTCCCTAGATTGTCATTTGTTCAGTGTAATATTTTTAGGTCTGTATATAGTAGGTTCTCAATAACAATGATGTTTTTCTTTCCTAGTTACCACCTGAAAAACATACCTGAAAAAAGAATATATCTTTTTTAAGGATACCAGTTCAAGGAAAAATAAATTATTCATAATTTTATGTTAAAGAAAAGCCATATATCTAACACCTCCCTTGGTTTTAGCCTTTGGATGAACTGTGCTATAACTGGCCTACAGATATATTGACATAAATGATAGAGCCACATGTCTGAATAGATGTTATTATATAAATGTTGCTGCATAGTCCTCAGATCCTCCAATACCATGGAGAAGGGGGAGCGGTCCACAGGCAGGGGTGCCCAGGGCAGGCAGTGCCACCTCAGCTACCTCCGCCTACAATCACAGCCTCACAAGCTCATCTCTGACTATGGTGGTATAGATTGTGTGGTACACAACAATGCTGCATTTCAAAGAAGTGTACCCACCTTATAGGCATCATAGGTTTGAATATTTATTATTAAAATTGTCCTGGCAGGAGGGAATAGAGTATATTAAAGAAGGGATTTTTCTAATACACACGAAAGTACTATAGGGCTAGAGCAGGCCTGTTGGACCTTGATGATCAATCTGAGGCAGCCC